GTCTGAGCCTCAACCTAATGACCAGCCAGAGGCCCCAGACCTTCAAATTCCAGATTTTACAAGCCTCTGAACCCCACACACCTGAACCAAACACCTAACATACAAAGCATACTAACCCCAATATCTAGACCAGACTCCTTCCCACGCTGACCATCACCCCTAGCTTCATCACCCAACCCCAAAATAACTCTGAGCACGGCTCTTTTAGACAAACGGCACCTCTCCCTAGTTCTGCATCACACCTTAGTTCTGCCCTACAGACAGAGTGACCCGCAAAGACTCCAAACTCTAATGGCAGGACTCTCAGTCGTCTAACTTGTTAGAGCTTTAACACTCGACCACAAGAACTCCACCATGAGGACAGCAAAGGCTCCCCAACTTCAGATCCACCATTCCAGACCGTCAACTCTCCCCACGGACGCACATGGATCCTTTCTGCTCCTTTAATCTCTTCCATGGAGAGAACCCCACCTCTCCCCTGATATCGGAACTCAACTGTGACTTCCCAACAGCTACATCTAACCTCCGCCCATTCTACCGTTTCTGGCTGTTAAAGCCCAGCATTGGCAAGGGACTAGGGCAGAAAAGGAGGGCAGGAGGCATTTCTGTCCACGGGGACTTAGGCTGTGCCTGAAAAGGTAACATTTATGTGTGAACCCCCACACTCCTTGGGGACGACTATCTTGAAAGATCTGATGTACAAAAGGGAACTGCTGTCTTTCAATCAATAACCTGGATGGCTGGCATGACAACAAAAATCTGAGGCACAGTACCATTTTGACTTTGGGAAAACAGCAATTAATGAATTTTGAAGCATCAAAGCAAAAGAAGTTAAGTGCTCCTATGCTTAACATATGGGAGGCAAATAAGAATAGGGTGAATAAGAAAAACAAGTTATTTGGTCACAATTGTGAAATTGCCTTTTCACATGCCTTGTTGAGAAGCACCAGATCACTTAACTTTACGTTAGTTAGCTACTTTTGATTGGCTGATGTCACATTTTGTGTGATTTTTTATTTTTTTGGAGACAGAGACTAAAGCTGTCACCCTGGGTAGAGTGTTGTGGTGTCACAGCTCACAGCAACCTCAAACTCTTGGGCTTAAGC